ATTAGCATAGAGTATTTCATTGTATGACTTTACCAAAATTTATTATTTTATCATCAATGGATGTTTATTTGTTTGTAGTCTGGGCCAACTACAAATATACCCTTTTTTTTTTTTTGAGACAGAGCCTCAAGCTGTCCCCCTGGGTAGAGTGCTGTGGCATCACAGCTCACAGCAACCTCCAACAAGCAAGTCTCCTGCCTCAGCCTCCCAAGTAGCTGGGACCACAGGCACCTGCCACAACGCCCAGCTATTTTTTGGTTGCAGCCGTCATTGTTGTTTTGGCGGGCCTGGGCTGGATTTGAACCCGCCACCTTAGGAGTATGTGGCTGGTGCCTTAGCTACTTGAGCTGCAGGCGCCAAGCCAAATATACTACTTTGTACACTCTTGAGTTTGTCTTTGGGGCAGGCATTTCTGTTGGATATGTATTAGATTGAACCATATGAAATGATCATTTTTGTGGCGCAAACATTAAATATTAGTGATATCATATGGTTTAATCCCAAGGAGAATTGTTGGACCATAGGAAATACATATATTCAATTTTAGTAAATCATGCCAAATAGTTTTCTGAAGATCTTGTACCAACTTAATTTACTGATAGTGATGTATACTTGTTTCTCCACATTCTGGCCCACACTTGTTATTATAATTTCTCATTGTGGTTTTAATTTGCTTTTTTTTTTTTTTTGGCCCGGGCTGGGTTTGAACCCGCCATCTCCGGCATATGGGGTTGGCACCTTACTCCTTTGAGCCACAGGTGCCATCCCTGTGGTTTTAATTTGCTTTTCATGGTTACCAATGTGTTTTTGAGCATCTTTGTTGTTCGTCTTGGCCATTGATTTCTTCTTGCAGAGCACCCAGTCTACTTAGTCATTCGCCTGTTTTTCTTTAGGGTGGTTTGTCTTTGTCCTGTTGGTTAGCAGGGGTGCTAGATACATTCTAGATCTGAATCTTTGCTGGTTAAATGTGTGCAAGTATCTTCTCCCAAATCCAGCTCAGCTTTTCACTTTCCTAATGGTGGTTTTCAGGCTGGGTGCAGTGCTCACCCCTGAAATCCTGGCACTTTGGGTGGCCAAGGAGGTGGGAAGGTTGAACTCTTGAACCCAAGAGTTTAAGACCTGTCTGAGCAACATAGAGCAACCCGATCTCTACAGAAAAATTTAAAAGTTAGCCAAGGGTGGTGGCACTTGCTTCTAGTCTCCAGTACTTGGGAGACTTGAGCCCAAGAGTTGGAGGTTACAGTAAGCTGTGATGATGCCACTGCACTGTAATGCGGGCAATGGAGTGAGATCCTGTCTCAAAAAAAGGTGTCTTTTGATGAACAGATATTCTGAATTTGAATGTAGTCAAATATATCCATCATTTATTTTCATAGTTAATGTTTTTGTAGACTGTCTAAAAAAGCTTTTACCCCAAGATCTTGAAGATAACCTTTTGTATTATCTTCTAAGAGATTTATTATTTTGCTTTTCACTTTGAGGTCTGTAATCCATCTGAAGTTGAGTTTTGCATGTGGAGTGAAGTTGAGGTTCAATTTTATTTTCCCCCAATGGATGGATGTACAGTTGTCCCAGCATTAGTGAAAAGACCATCTGCTGCTTTGCAGGGTGACGTCTGTGGCGTGCTCTGTAGGTGCCTGCGAGTGTGCACTCTTGTTCTCTTCCTTTCTATGGTCTGTTGATCTGTTCTTGTACTAACACATCACTGTCTTGTTGCTATAGCTTTATAGCACGTGAGCCTCCCACCTTACTCTTCTCATTGAAGAGCGCCTCAGCCATTCTTGTGCTGTATTTCCATGTACATTTTAGAATCAGCTTGTCAAATTTAACAAAAGTTGGTTGGGATTTTGATTGAGATTATAATTGATCTATCCATTAATTTGTTTAGAATTGCCATCTTTACAGTTGTAAGTTTTTCATCTCGGAATAAGGTATATCACTGTGTTAATAAGGTTGCTTCATTGTCTATCAGAAATGCTTTTTGAGATAAAATTCACCATTTTAATGACTTTTTATTAAGGTATACATAACAAAATTTACCATTTAAACCGTTTAAAAACATAGAATTCAGTAGCTTTTAGTACAAAGTGTTGTACAACTATCAGCAGTATCTAATTTTAGAACATTTTTGCTCCCCCACTGCCCCAAAAGCCCCATACCTATCAAGCAGTCACTCTCCACGTCCCTTGAAACTTCTGCCTTCTGTCTTGGAGGATTTGCCCCCCCTTGAACATTTCATATCTATGGAAACACACGATATATGGCCTTTGGTTCTGGCTTAACCAACTACAGATAATGTTTTTAAGGTTCATCCTTGCATGTTTCCTACATCCCAGGTGTCGCATGTGTCAGAACTTTATTGCTTTTATGGCCGAGTACTATTCTGTTGTACGGCTATACCACATTTTAATTATATGGATAAACCATATTATAAATTAATCAGTTGCAGACGTTATTTGATAAAAGCCTGCAATTTTTATAGAGTGTGCTCTTATGTTTTATTACATTTATTCCAAGGTAAATATTTTTAAATTTTCACAAATTATCATTTTGTTTACTGCTGTTAAATAAGAACATATGACCATGATACATGCTATGAGTTTAGTTTGATAAAGTCTCAAAATAATTCCAAAACTATTTCTGTAGGATAGATTCCTTTGTACTTTATCTATACCAGTGATATCATTACAGTGAATGAGTTTTGTTTCTGCCTTTTTGTTTCTTCTGCCCTTTGTTTCTTTAACTCCTTTAACTCACCCTGCGGACTAGAATCTCTAGTATAAAGTGGAACAGAGTCGTGGTAACAAGTAGCCGTGACTTATTCCTGATTCTAAAGGAAAACCTTTTAATCCTTCACAGTTAAATGTAAGATTTGCGATAGATACATACATGTTTCAAACGGTCTTTATCTTAACTGAAGCTTGACAATCTAATTTTTAAGTAACAATTAGGTGAGCTCCTAAGAGCACTTGGCCTCTGATTTGGTCAATTTTGGCAATCTTCAGGTTTGACTTTTGAAGTCACATCGGCCTGTTTCCAAATATAGCTCTGCTATATACTCACATGATTTTGGTCAGGACTGTAAATCCTTTTAGGGCAGAAACTGTGTCTTATTTATTTGGTTCCGTACCCTTAACTCTAACTTAATGCACAGTACGTCATAGGGGCTTAAGAGATGTATTTTGAAAACAAAGTTACTTAATTTGTCTGAGTCTTGACTTTCTTATTTATAAAGTAAATGGGGGGAATAATTCTTTACATAACATCTTTGTTATGATGATTTTAAAAATAATATGTGTAACATAGTTGGTATGTAAAAAGCATTAAAAAATTTCTTTCCCTTGAGATTTATTTTTCTTTAGTTAAAAAATAAATACAGTATTAGTGATCTGGTTTTCATCTTTGAGTTTCATGTAACTTCATAGAAACCTGCTTACTGTCTTTGTTTTTTACATTTTAAAGAAATTAAAACATTTTTTCGTCTTCACTTCTCTTCCCGTCCCCTTTTCCTGTCCCTTTCCTATCTCAGGGTCTTGCTCTGTTGCCCAGCCTAGCATGCAGCAGCATGGTAATAGCTCACTGTAACCTCAAACTCTTGGCACAAGTGATCCTCCTGCCTTGCTTTCTTGAATAGCTGGGACTACTTTCACCTGCCACCATGCTCAGCTAATTTTTTTTTGTTTTTTGTAGAGAAAAGTGTTTTGCTATTGCCCAGGCTGGTCTCAAACTCTTGGCCTCAAGCAATCCTCCCACCTCAGCCTCCAAAAGTGCTGGGATTACAGATATGCGCCATAGTTCCTGGCATAAAACTTTTTTAGAAGTTAGAAGGGTTTAGAAATTTTCCCTGTGGCTGAGAAATATTCTGATGGCTTGAAGTGAGAGGGAAAATCTGACTATGGTTTGAGGTGAGCTTTTTAACGACAGAAAGATCCCATAGATTATGTAGCAAGTTCCATTGAATTAAACAATATAGTGAGAAGCACGGTACCAACGTGGATTTATTTATTTAATTTTCTTTAAAAAAAATTGTTTGAGACAAAGTCTTATAGGCTAGAGTGCCATGACCTCAGCCTAGCTCACAGCAACCTCACACTCCTAAGTTCAAATGATCCTCTTGCCTCAGTCTCACAGGTAGCTGGGACTACAGGCACCTGCCGCAGCACCTGGCTAGTTGTTCTGTTGTCATAGAGACAGGGTCTCACTCTTGCTTAGGCCAGTCTTGAACTCCTGAGCTCAAGCCATACTCCCACCTTAGCCTCTCAGAGTGCTAGGATTACAGGCATGAGCCACCACGCATGGCCAATTTATCTATTTATTAGCTTGCTCTCCAGAAAGGTACCAACAAGGTTTTAAATGGAATGTATTAATAGTCTCTTAAGAGCAGCAACAATGTTCTGATGTATCCATGTTTTCAGCAATTGGATGACTCTAGTTTTGTTAATACCCTGTAATCATAATCTTCTTCATCCCTGAAGTTCTGATATCTCATTTTTACTGAATTTTTTCTGCAGGAATTTTTGAAGGAGATGCTACGCATGATATTTTGTACCACCTGTAGAGGGTAGTGTAGCCTCTGTTGGGAATCAGGAGCATCCCCACACATTAGCTTCTGTGTTTGTCATGCCCTTTCATTCTATGGAATAGGAGGTAATAGGCTGGAAGGGAGCAATGGTGAGCAGAGGATGAGTTTTCCAGAAGTAGACTGTGGCCGCATGGTGGCTTCAGAAGGGTCTGTGGGGCTAGAAAGACTTTAGAACTCAAACTAGAGCCAGACCACCCACTGCTCACATGGATGGTGGCTGAGTGCCTGCTGTGCCTCCCTGCAGCCTAGTGACAGCCAACACTCTTATCTCAGTGCAAGGAGCTCAGGCAACATTGTCTAAGGACGTAGGTGTTTGTTTCTCTGGAACACTGGGAATTCTTGTAATTGCAATTGATGTTTCCTACCCTGAACGGACCTTCACAGTTACTAATGAAGAATTGGACTTTCTGCATTTCAGGTCAACATCAGTAAGTGCCATTATTTAGTGGATTTGGACACCATGAGAGAAACACCCCGGGAGCCCAACTATTCATCCTATAGAGAAGAATGGATCAGCTTGGCCTCCAGGCCATTCCTCGATGCCTCTAGGTATGTAGCTCTAATCCTGTGAGATGTGTTAGGAGTAGGAAGGGTGAATGTTTGATTCTTGGATTGAATAACTTCTGGTCCTGGGCCAATGCTAGTAGCCATCATTTTTGTTTTATGTGGGCCCAACATATCTGTTTTGTCCAGTTTCCTAAGAAAATGAAAATATTTCTTTTTCATGTCTTCAGAATGCAGAGTGTATTCTTAAATCTTCAAATGAAAGACTCTAAGTAAAACAGTAAAAGGTCTACTGAAGAAAACTCAAATGAGTGGTTTACATTGATTATGTTTGGCAACCCACTTCAGCTGTCTTCACCAAGAGTATTCTGATGCTGTCAGGAAGATCGGCTGTGCTTTTGAGGAGCTAGGAGTTCACGTACGTTATTTTCAGGCTCAAGCCTAGGCCAGGACTGGTATGGAAATTATTAGATCTGAAACAGGGAGACTGAATAGACCAGGGCTTGTCTGCCTCTTCATAAAGCTCTCATAATTAATGATAAGAAGTGATAAGCATTCCACTTCGTATATCAAATCATCACATTGTACCCCATAAATATATACAGTTATGATTTTAATTAAAAATTAAAAAGAAGTGACCAGGACATTCAAGTGATGGAGTAGGGGCAGGGTAATTTGGAGAGGTCAAAGTGTCTGCGGGCACAGGTCCAAGTCAATAGACAATTGGCATTAAGGAGGTTTAAGGAGGCCTGGTGGGCAAAGCCCAGGAGCCAAAAAATCTGAAAGAAAGAAAAACGTAGAAGACTAGGCCCTAAGGCAGGTCTGAGGCTCAGAACCTGGGACTGGGCCTAGGACAGGGCTCTTTGTAGACTAAATGAACACAGGTGCTGGATTTAAGTCTGAGGAACCAAAATATAGGTCAGGATACCAAGACGGGAAATAAAATACAGAGATAAAAACAAGGGTCCCTCCTTACTGGAACTGAAGCGTAAGACTGGTTCTTTGTGAGTAGGAAAGAGTGTGCTCAGTCTAAGTTAGTTCAGTTAAAGCCGGGCTAGCAAGATGGCTGAGATGCAGATCTGGATACCAGGGCACTAGGTCGGTCTTGGAAGTGAAGCGGGAACTAAGTTTGGAGAGCTGCTGGAGCTCAACAGTCACTGAGTTTATAGCCAGTTACAGGATGAGGGGGTGGCTGAGGAGAGGAAGGCAATCAGGAGGTATCTGAGTTCTCCAGCCATTCTCAAGTACAGGGTCTGGAACCACACTGCCATCCTGTAAATCTTTCTGTAGCCTGAAGCCATTCCCTCAAGTATATGATACATAATTTCTACGTGTTCTATCTCCATATTCTGGGAAATGGTACTTCTTTTTTTTGAGACAGAGCCTCAAGCTGTCCCCCTGGGTTGAGAGCTCTGGCATCACAGCTCACAGCAACCTCCAACTCCTGGGCTCAAGCGAATCTCCTGCCTCCCAAGTAGCTGGGACCACAGGCGCCCACCACAACGCCCGGCTATTTTTTGGTTGCAGCTGTCATTGTTGTTTGGCGGGTCCAGGCTGGATTCGAACCCACCATCTTAGGTGTACGTGGCTGGTGCCTTAGTCACTTGAGCCACAGGTGCTGAGCGGGAAATGATGCTTCTTTTCAACAGATATTTTTTAAGAATTTGCAGTCTCTAGGTGCTTTGGACATATTAGTGAATAAAATAAAGAGCCCATCTTTGAGGAGCTCCTTGTTTGGAGATGGGTTGGGAAGACATACAAAAAACATAATAAATGAGGAAATAAGTTATATGGTAAATAGAGGTTATAAAATATATGGTATTCGAAGGTGATAAATGCTAAGAAAAAAACCCCCAGCAGGTTAAGAGGATTGAGAGGTCCTCTAGAGTTGAGGGTTACACTTTTAGCTAGGCTGTCAAGGTAAGGTGATAATTGAACAAAGACTTGAAAGAGGTAAGGGCATTAGAAGTCCAGGGGAACAAGTAGTGAAAGGCTCTGGCTTTTGGTAAAAACAGGAGGCAAATGAGGCTGGAACTAAGCAGGATGGGGGAACAGCAGGCAGTGTGGTCAGAGTGTGGTGGGGGTGAGTGCAGCATATGAAGGGCTTTGTAGGCTGTTGAAAAGCTTTCACTCTCAGTTACATGGGGAGCTACTGCAGGATTTTGATATAACTTCTCTTTCCAAAGAGTCATTTTCAGTTCTGTGCTAAGAATAAATGGCAATCATAGTAAGGGAGTAAGCGTAGAAACCAGTTAGGTTACTATTGCTGGTGGTTCAGGCAAGAGATGAGGGTTGTTCAGTGCAGGGAGAGGACCATATAGCTCATGGGAAGGAGAGTGAGAGTTAAGCCGGGAACACCCTGTAACTGTAAGAAACGCCTGTGATATAACCTCTCAGTAATATAACACCTTGGTGATAAGGGCACAGGGAAGGGATCTCCCAGAAATGGAAGTGGTTAGATTCAGGATATATGGAAATGCACTGAATTCAAAGTGTGAGAGAAAGAAAGGAATTAAAAGTGATCCCAGGGAATATATCTAACAAAGGATGTGAAGGGAACTATAAAGGGAATTATGAATTCCTGAGAAAAGAAGTAACAAAAGACATTGATAAATGGAACAACAGGCTCGGCGCCTATAGCTCAACCGGCTAAGGCGCCAGCCACATACACCTAAGGTGGCGGGTTCGAATCCCCAGCCCGGCCCGCCAAACAACAATGACGGCTGCAACCAAAAAATAGCCAGGCACTGTGGCGGGCGCCTGTGGTCCCAGCTACTTGGGAGGCGGAGGCAGGAGACTCGCTTGAGCCCAGGAGTTGGAGGTTGCTGTGAGCTGTAATGCCACGGCACTCTACCCAGGGGGACAGCTTGAGGCTCTGTCTCAAAAAAAAATAAAAAATAAAAATAAATGGAAGAACACACCGTGCTTTTGGCTGGGAAGAATCAACATTGTAAAAAAGTCCATACTACCCAAAATGATCTACAGATTTAATGCAATTCCCATCAAAGCACAAACGTCATACTTTGAAGAACTTGAAAAAATAGTACTTTGTTCTATATGGAACCAGGAAAAAACTCAAATAGCCAATACAATTTTAAGAAATAAAAACAAATCTAGAGGCATTAGGTTACCAGATTTCAGGTTATACTACAAGTCTCACTTTATCGCCCTTGGTAGAGTGCTGTGGCATCATAGCTCACAGCAACCTCTGACTCCTGGGCTTAGACAATTCTCTTCCCTCAGCCTCCTGAGTAGCTGGGACTACAGGCACCCAGACTATGTTTTCACATAATGTCCTCAATGTGAGGGTGTTCAGCGCGCCCCCTGGGTGAAGGGCTCAACTATAACTTGAACTTTACCTTAGAAATGAAAACAGTGTTGGCTCGGCGCCCATAGGTCAGTGAGTAGGGTGCTGGCCACATATAGAGCCCGGCCTGGGCCTGCTAAACAATGACGACAACTGCAAACAAAAAATAGCTGGGTGTTGTGGCAGGCACCTGTATTCCCAGCTACTTGGGAGACTGACACAAGAGAACTGCTTAAGCCCAAGAGTTTGAAGTTGTGAGCTGTGATGCCACAGCACTCTACCGAGGGCGACATAATGAGACTCTGTCTCAAAGAAAAAAAAAAAGACGTGAAAACAGTGTAACCTAAACATTTGTACTTTCATATTAATCTAAAAAAAAATGATCCTAAGGGATTTGATCTAAGCAACGGGGAAAATGAAAGTGCTGAGATGGGAAAGACTGCATGGAGCAGGTTTTAGGGGACACTGAGATCAGCTCTGATTAGATCTGACATGTCAGTTGCCAAGCAGACAGAGTTATTGAGCAGCCAGCCGGATGTAAAGTCTAGAGGTCAGCGGGGAGATCCGAGCTAGAGATAGAGATTGGCATTTGGAATGGTTGGCATTTAGACGATAGTTAAAAACATAATAGGAAGTGAGATGAGCAAAGGAGCGAATGATGTTAGGGGCAAGGTGAGGTTAGGTGACAGTCAGTGTTAACAGGTTAGGGAGAAGAGGAACCAGCAAAGGTGACTGAGAAGGAATGACCAGTGGGGCGGTAGGAGAGGGCAGTACCCTGAAAACTAAGGGAAGAAAATGTGTTCAAAAGGAGTGGCCGGCTGTGTTAGAAGCTTCTGGTAAATCAAGTAAGATGAAGAATAACAGCTCTCTGCTGGGTTTGGTAGCTGGGAGAAGCAATTTGGATGAAGTGGCAGGGTGGGGCATAGAGCCTTGAGATGTTAGGGTGGTTAAAGCAGGAATAGTAGAAGAATTGGGGTAGCAAATAGAGACCTAAGTCTTTTGAAGAGTTTTTCCATGCAGGGAAGTAAATAGGGCTGTAGCTGGTGGTGGGTGTCAAGGAAGGGATAGCTAGAGAAGGTTTGTAACCTTTCTAAAAAATTTTTTATTATAACATATTATGTATACAATAGAATTTGCCATTTTCACCATTTTAAGTATCCAATTCAATTGCATTAATTGCATTTGCTGTGTTGTACAACCATTACCGCTATTATTTACAAAAACTAAAAAAAAATGTTTAACTTTTTTCATAGACTTTATTTTCTAGAGTGGTTTTGGGTTCCCAGCAGAACTGAGCAGAAGGCACAGAGATTTCCATACACCACCTGCCCCCACAAATGCACAGCCTCCTCCGCTATCAGCTTGATGCATCTGCACTGACAGGTGGTTGTCACCCAGAGCCCATAGTTTACCCTGGGCTCACCCTGGGTGTACAGTTCTATAGCATACTGTAACGTATCCATCATTACAGCACCATATACAATAGTTTCCCTGCACTTAAAATCCCGGGCTCTGCCTGTTCTTCCCTCACCACAGCCCTGACAGCCACTAATCTTTCCCTGTCTCTGTAGTTTTGCCTTGTCCAGAGTGTGTACAGTTGGAATCACGTAATACGTCGGCTTTTCCGACTGGCGTCTTCACTCAGCAGTGTGCCTTCACATTTCTTCCAACCTCACTAGCTCATTTCTTTTTAGCTCTTAGTAATATTCCATTGTCTGGGTGTACCACAGTTTATTTA